TATGCAGGAAAATTCTGCTTGTTGGGCCAAAGTGACACGATCCAGAGGATCGCACTGAAACGGCAACCGGTTTACCTTTCATGGCAGGAGCAGATTCTTCGCAAATCCGAGGTTGAGCAAGACATTTCCTGAACAGCATATCCGTGGATGCAAGCCAGCAGCATCCAGCAGCCCTTAACCTACCAACAATTCGCATCACCCCATCCGAATTCGTGACTGTAAACATCGCGACCACCCAACTTGGACGAGAGCACAACCCCAAATCGCTCCAACAATCCTTAAACCCTTAAACCCTGAACTTTTCAAACCCTATAATCCCTACGTAGTATAAACCCTGAAGCCAGTCGTTGAGCTCCGGCCTGCCACTGGCGACTTAGTTTCCAGCGTGAGATTTCGCGGGCATCGGCCGCGGGTGCTTGCCACACCTTGGCGATGGGTCTTTTCGGAATTGAATTCTCGCAACCCGGACTTTCCAGGCGAGGATTTAGGGCTGAGGGGATTAAGCTTTGGTAAAACTCAGGTGTACGGCATTTAGGGCCTAGAGCAGTCTTCTAACATGAAGGGTCTGAGGGATTTGGGATTCGATTCAATCGGCGTGCTACCAAAGACCAAAGACGTAAGCGCCAGCCTCCGTTCCTTTTACACTTACCACCGCTACCATTGGTTGCTCTGCTAATTTGGAGCTCGGGCCGAGGTAACGGAGTGTCGGCGTGTAAACTCCAGAGTTTAATGCATCCCACACTGAAAGCAGGAATGATAATTTGAGAGGCGTCGGTAGAGCGCCCCAAACCTACCCATAGCAAGAACCTACCGTTGGAGATCATAGTCATAGGGGAACTATAGGAATAATCCAGAAGTCATGAAACGAAAGCACGGCCCTAAACCCACGAAAACGTGCGTTGTTCTTTGAAGTCCCGTGGCTAACGCATGTTTTTCCCACCCGCCCAGCTGACAAAGTCGCACCGCAAGGAATTCGTCCGAAACCAAGCCACAGGTGACTGCAAATCCCAAACTCCCAAGGGTCACCGTCTAACAACGCCACCCCCAAGTTCCAAAACAATACAAGAGTGACCCCTTGGTCTAACGCATGTTATTGTATTCTGTGGAAGCTGCGGCTTCGCATTTGGACCTATTCCCCTATAACCATGAACCGTTTTATTTTTTGGGGGCTCCGTGCTGGTCATGTTGTCTACGAAAAAATCCCAGAGAGGCGGTGCTCAACACAAATCATGTACCATCGTCGGTGCTACTATCGGAGAAATTGCTACGGCTACTACAGTTCATGGTGCTGTTAAGTGTTTTTTGACACTCACACTCGGACGAACCTGGCAAGGTCTTGCAGCAACACAGGTTCGACGACACATTAACTGGCTCGCTGGACCGGTATCGTCCTGCAAGTCCAGCTGTCAAGCACATTGAAGACTTCACGCGACGACCGACTAACAATATCTGACAATCATATGTAACAATGGGTTGACAGCAACCCTCCAGCAGGAACAATCGAGCCTAATCCCACACAGAAAGCCAAGCACCCCATTTCTTGGTTTCGTCCTGTGAAGGGCACGTGAAACTTACTACCTGCCCCATCTTCGAGGACCATAGCCTCAACGACATCGTGCAAGCTTCAGAGCAAGATGCATCTAAACTCTTCAGGAGCATGCACAAAATCGCCAAGCTTCTTGCTTTCCAATGCAGCTCTTGACTTACTGGCTTTTGCACCTGCAATATCCGCGTTCTTCCTGGTGTCAGACATGCATTGTCCATCCACCATAAGGTTTGTCTCATGCAGCCGCACAATGCTTGTATCATGCAGGATCAGCAAGGCACACACTTCCATTTCAAGATGCACTAGCTGTTCCATTGTGCATATACCATGCAGTGCAGTGTATACTGATGCAGTGTACTGGGCACTCAAGGGCACATGCAGCCGACTTTACTCACGCGCTTCGTGTTACTTCTCGTGCACTGATGGACCACCATGCAAGCGCGCTGTGTCATGTGTTCCAGTAGTTGTATGCCATGCAGTGTGCACCAATGCAGTGTACTGAGCACTCAATTGCGCGTGCAGCCAAATTCTGCTCATGCACGTCGTGCTCATGCTGCTAATGCTCGTGCACTGATGGAGCACCACGCACGTGTTGCTGCGCCAGTTGCTCCAGCCGCTGTGTGCCATGCAATGTGCACCAATGCAGTGTACCTCAGGATGCAGAGTACGCAGCAGCCGTATGTAGCAACTTGTTCTCCCCAACGCAGGTCATTCAATGTAGTTCTGAGTCCAAACTACGCCCAAATTAGCAGTCGACGTCTGCGTGGCCATGTGAGGAAGGGCTTATATACGCGAATGGGTTGGAAAGATTTAAGTCAACACTGCGAGGGAGGCTTGCAACGAATTGACTAGGGTGGCGACATCGTGGTGAGGTAGACCCAGCCGCAATTGCAGCGGTGCTTTTGTAAGGCTGGGCTGTTGTCACTGTGGCCTGTAATGCCAATCGCTGCCAAAATGTCTCTCACCACTTCGGTCGGCACCGCCAGGCGAACATCTTCTGGACTTTGCTCGTGTCACTGCGCTTCGGTGGCAGTGCACTCCTCCCAGTCGAAGTAGCGGCGGTTGATGCCAATAAGGCAAAAGGCCTTGGGCAGCATCTTCACGTAAGTCTGCCACGTCGCCTACCGTCCGCGCAAGAATCGGAAGGTGGCGATCATCGAAGGACTGGAGCATGGACTGCCAACACAGTGCCCCGAATCCGGAGCTAAAAGGGTTGTCCGGCTCGTGCCCGCCGTAGTCAACTGACCCGAAGGCAATGAATACGCTGGATCGGATGCAATCCGACTGGATGTTCAGGGCGGTCCCTTTCGAGTCATCGATCGTTAACTCGATCTCGAATCTCTGCAGGACTTGCTCTAGAGCACGTGCCATCGCCACCGGCGCAGGAAAGGTACAAGTCTAAAGCTTTCGCCCTGACAGTCCCAGATAAGAAGGCTATAAAACCGTGACATGAAAGCCAAAATGGCTTGAGCCGTAGGCAGGTGTTAATTGTTCTTCTTGTATTGCCAAGCGAAACGACGAGTAGAAACAAACTCAACCGAGCAACGGCTGCATCGAGCGTCTCTGGCTGAGCCTTCGGCGCTGAAGCATAAACAGACAAATATAATTTATAATTACTTCTCAGAACCTGCTCCTATCCTAGCAGCCTATAATCACACTGGAAGCCGCAACACGGATGCAAATCTTCACTCACGTGGCCTCCTGTAATCTGCGTTGCCGCTGCGGAATAACCAACGGCAACAGAGTGCCTTCAGTCGGGAGTGTTAACACAATGAGGCCCAAGATGGTCCGAGAGAGCACGTGTCTGTAAGTCTAAAAGTTCTAAAAGTTGGATGGCCATATATCACGTAATTTTCTGTTGTGAACATCAACACATCGTCACCAGCGCAAGCAAACAACATTAACTTCCCCCCGGCTCGCAAAGTCGAGATTGTCGGGGCCTTTAGGCTTTTCAACATTTCGTTCACTGCACGTTTCCCAGTCATGGAAATGGGCTCGAACATGCCCAGGCCCGAGAAAGAAGAGAACATGTCGGAGCAGACGCATCTACAAACCTACTGCCTGCTGTCAGTGCCAAACCACCAACTCAAGCTGAAGAGAACTCTTCGTCTTGGGCACTTGTGGTGAAATGCTGAAGCCTCACTCGAGTCTCTCTCAAACCGTGCAGCTGAGTCACCGAGCAGAAACCCGCCGACCAGAACTGACACGTAGCCCCTTGGATTTCTAGGAATCTGCCGCTACGCCGGTGCTTCACACCCAAGTCGCGTAAGGCATGTCGGGTGTAAAACCCTCACCGACGTGACTTCATGTGTAAGGATGCCCACATGCGCAGTGGCATAGCCATCACGGGATCCTCAAAACGAGTTCTAACCGTCCCGAGATCAACCCCAGGCACCAGCGACCGAGCTCGTCTCCACCAAACAGGGTTAATAGGAGCCGAGCGTCACACGGATCATCATAGCCGTTTTGCTCGGCAAGGTAAACCGAACCCTTAACAAAGCACTTTCAGCTTTATCCCTTCAGCCTGACATCTCAAAGCCACGCATAAAAATTCACATAATTGGTCCAATGTCGGAGATTTCATAACTGTACCACAACTTTTAATAAAGCACTCGAAAGAATCATGTGCACTTCTGTATATATCAAAGTCGCATTACACCCTCCTTGTAGAGCCAAGGGGTCCTTAGCGTCCTCAGCATGCAAACTCTAAACACAGCTCGTGTGCTTTGAGCCAGCGGGCTTCGTGAAACCTACATGAACTGACATTTCCGTGACGCCACCATAACAACACCCCAAATGAACACTCAGCAATATGCCTAAGAAGCCTTGCAAAGCCTGAATTGTCATGACAACATGCTGCGTCTCAAGGCTGCTTTTCTGCTCGACTCATGCCGTGATCAATGCAGAAGTACATGGATAAATGAACAGTGCAGAAATACACAAACTCCTGTGAATATATCTCTCTTCCTTTCTGCGCACGCGTCTTTGCAGGCTTCCGTCTGTACATCTATATATATATATATATATAACTATAAATCATTATGTATCAAATTCATTCGGGAAATGCATAACCTACGATTGCACACAACATCTGTTCCTGCTGCGTTTTGAAACTGCCGAGCTGATGGTCAAGCACCAATACAAGTGCCTTAGTAAGTGGAACTCGGTTTGGGGGCAACATGCATTACAAGGCTACCTATCAGGGAATGCTGCCGCTGACTATTCAGGCGCAGATATTGGATCATACCGAAATCGACAGCTTTGATGTGAGCGGAAGGCTTGAAGTTTCGCGTACAGTGATCCTGGGTAGCAGCCGTCACAGCAATCCTTATGGCAAGCTTTATAGAAACCATGATGCCAGTAGGAATCTTCATCGTAACCCTGACAACGAAATGAAGACTAAACACTCAACTGTTAGAGGCCTCGAGTAAGAGAACGCGCTGAGCTCCCGGGCTCTCCGAAATGCTGGAGATGACTCAGATCACAAGCCTCGGATCTCAGCGATGGAAACGCTTCCTAAAACTTAAACGGAGCGAGCTCTGCGCTTCTCAAGGGCTTCCGGGCACATGCGCCCAAACCTCTTAGCCTTAACTCCTGAGAACCGAGCCCTAAACTTCTCAACCCTGCGGGTGAAATATGGCGTTCCTCTGTTGAAGTTCCCACAAGCATACGTGCTCTAAGGGTTACCATGATGGCACTAAAAAGCTTACAATAAGGCTGTTGTATAGGGTCCAACCCTGAAGCAAGCTGAAGTAAGCTTTGATCTGTTCCAGGCGGGGAGCTGCTAAGGCTCTGGGAATCGTCCTCCAGCGGGTGACGAGCTGAACCCAGAGGTCGCAAAGCCTGAGAAGTCCGCCAAATGTCTCCCTACTGGGTTATTGGGACTATTCTTGCATTCCCTACTAAGAACCAAACAGAAGTGGCAGCCACTCGCAACTCGGCAATAATTACAAGGCTTCGCATTTAGGGTTTGTAGGGTTCGCGGAAGGCTTAGGGTTTAAGGTCCGCAATTCCACGCTATCACCGGAAACCTTTGATGTGCGGATGCGAGTGCTGGGGCCTCCGGGAAACCCCGATTCTGGCACCGACTTTCGGTAGCCGGTAGTTAGAATGGCTTGAATCTGTATTCCGGCCCGCAGTTTTGCTTCGTGCCTTCCACTAGTCGCAGTGTATGCTCCCCAAACTCAGATGGGCCGTCATAAGCTGTGTTTTCTTAACCATAGTTACCATGTGCCTGTATGATGCTGTAGGAACCAAGGCAAAACTGCACAAAGCGAGGCTCTCGTGCGGCGGCTCTTCGTCCGTGCCCACAGAGTTCCTTGCAAGCTTCTGCTCTCTCGGGTATTGCTCTAGACTGCTCTGCTTGAAGAAATGGTGGGATGCGAGTCAGTCCTACAGTTTGATGGCTGTTCAGGCTTGACGTGCTGGACCTTGGGGTCTCTCTGTGGCTCCTTGACCTTCCTGCAAGATGCACCGAATACAGTCCCGAAGTTACAGAGGGCATGCTGTGCACGTGTTCCGCGTCACGCAACACGACACTGCATCGTGCCAGGCCAGTGAAATAGCTTGTCATTGCAGGCCAGGCTCTCTTCAGTTCCTTCGGTGATGGTCTCCGTGGAGACCATGGCACATACCGCCGACGCTAGTCACCGCTAGTCTTCAATCAGTTCGTCCCGTGTAGGTTGCTGAGATCGGGGGCCCCTTTATCCAGCCAGGGCGTAAGATCTGGAGTTCAGGGCCTTCACCTGTGTCGGGGTTGCGAGGGGGTTGTCCAAGTTCTTGGTCGAGGCATGCCACCAGGCCACCAGGCTTGTCAAAGGTTCGGCATAAGTAACAACAAAGTAGTGCACTATCAGGAAACAACCTACAACTTCTCGACGGTGATTGGAAAGACCGCGACGTAATTGCAAGAAACCTACGGACTTTCTATACCGGCTTCGCACGGGCGAACTTGTGAAACTAGTACTGAGCATGCGCTCCTTCCTCGCTTCATGCTTCCACTGGGAGCAGACCTCGAGCCAGGACAAACAACATCGTACACGGCCTGTGGTTGGAAATGATTTCCTGCAGGCGGCTACTTTGTACTCCTTGCACGCCTGCGAGTGCCATACACGATCCTCAACCCTCAATCCTTGCTCGCTTTAGCTAAAGTTGCAGTGACTAAGTATATGCAGCTAGCTAGACGGCACTTACAACAAAAGGTAAGAGACTTAGAGGGGAAGAGGTGACACAGGGATATTGAGCAGCACACAGTCCAACGTACCCGAGTCCGCATGCTCTGATACACCCGGGGGATTCACTATTTTCACCTCCTACAATCTTCTGAAATCACAAGACACGGCACCATACTGTGTGGGCGGCCACCGTGGTCAGAAAGACAACTACCATTATCGTCATTAGTTTTGCCATCGCCTGTATCTTCAACCTCCCTCAGAAAGCGCAATCAATAAAGACCATCCATCTTCTGGAGTAAACTTACGTAGAGCAAGAATAGAAGCGAAAAGCTCCCAAAGCGCGAAGTAGTCTCTGCACTCATTGAAACTGAGCTTCTACCTGGAAATGGTCTGAAGAAGGCGCGGCCGGCAACATAGAACACGTTTACATACGCACGACATTACCTTCGAGACGTACTGAGAATGCAAGACCAAAAATCCTCACGCACCAACCTCTGGCTAAGGGACCCGAAGGATTCAAGGTGAGTTCTCCTGTAGACTAACCCTCCTGCCACTGTGTCTATGGTCCAGAATGCCGCGAGTCAGCAGGATGCAAGGGCCTAGACTGAGAAGAAGTGGTCTCTTGCATGCTGCGCTTTGATCCTGCACCATGAAAGCATCTCGCGCTCTCTCCCTCCCTCGCTCTGTCTGCCCATCTCCGCACACGGGTATGTACACACATGCATATACATATATATATATATATATATATATATATACATATGTATATATATATATATACATATGTATATATATATATATATTCACACGCAGTACGCAGGTATACAGACATGCGTCAAGACTACAGACAGACCGACGGGTTCGCAGGCGGACCGACGTACGGAAAGAGGCACGGACATCAATGTCCGTATGTACTTACGTATGGCTGGATGGATGGACCCCGCAGTCTCCCAAGATGATCGTTGGCTCGTCCACAATGTAGGCCCGTGACTAACCGACCCCACGATAGAAGATAGCCTAAGGGAAGTATTGGCACGTACTTCCTGACCTATGTCTTCGCCTGCTAACTGGCCGGGGCTTCGGCAGCTCCTTTTTTCGTGTAGGTTGTTTTCCCTCCTACTTGGCAAGGACGAAGCCGTGCGGATTTAAAGTGCCGGGTTTTCGGATTTCCTCTTTGCAGGTTGGGGCTTTAGGCCGGTCATCTTGGCTTGTGGGCTCCAGCGGCACGTAGATGTTTGCAACACGTGCCTGGTACTTTAGCTCTTCCCATGCTTCTCTCCGCAGTTGAAAGCATCAAGTAGCCCGAAACTCCTCGCCATTGCGGTTGCAATGCCCAGGGTGGCGACCAGACCTGGGATCGGGATGAGAGGAAAGCTGCCAGGAGACACATTTAGGGCTTTTTTCCCTCCTACCTAGCAAGGACGATTAGGGCTTAGGGTTTTAGGGTTTAGGGATTATTTGGGGTTGCCCCGGTCGTCAGATTTTCTCTTATTTGCCCGTGTTCTGGCTCAGGGATAAGGTTTCAGCTGGGGTTTCGAACACGGTCATTCCATGAACCCAAAGGCCTCCCCAGACCCTGACCGGTGACACGACATGCACATCCCCCAAACACATCCCACCGGATAGCTGCACCTTTCCAGTCGCAACTCTCTAAGAGCACGGCATGCCGCCACTTTGGAGATCGTGTTGGACGGGTTCCTGGCTGGCCGAGCTTTGTCACGCTCCGAAACTGTTCCTGTGGTTTACCTGATTCCGTCGTCATCGACCACACGAATTCGAACTTTCTGGGACTCCGACACTTCCGTGCTCTGACTTTAAGTAGCCCTTCGAGAGAGAAACGACCTATGGCTAACTACGCCGATCTTCCTGAGCTCCTGTAAAGGTATTCTTGGGTGGACAGCCCGATAAGCCGGCAGAAAAAGCTCGATCAACAACACGAACTACGTAAACCGCACACTGTGCACTCGTGGTTCTTCGCCGCGATGTTGCGACCTTACAATATCTTACAATGTTACATATTCAATACAACAGCTTTGAACCCTTAATGGCTTGACTCAGGAAACAGTCGGCTTACAGTTTCGGCTCACGCGTGCTAGGAGCTTTGATGCAAGTGCTTGGACAACTAAACCGGGCAAGAAGGCAGTGATGTAATATGGAATGGTCTATGATAAGAGCCAGAGAACTTTCAGACTACCGTCAGACCAAAGCACCAAGCACCAAGCACAGCGGTTGCCCATGCCATCCGAAGCCCGCGACAAATGAGAAACCCCGACATTTGTCCGAACTGTCCGCGCACGGCGACCAGAACCACAGCTGCCCATGCACTGGTCACCGGCGAATGGAGTTGTACTCCGTTTCTTGGGTTGTGTGGGATTACGGCTTAAGGTTTTGGACCTGTAGTCAAGGTCACAATAGAACACAGATCCGCCGAAGCCCCCCTCTTTTTTTGTTTTTTCCGTGACCGCAGCAGTCGCCTTTCTATACACCATCTCTTGCGGCCAGATGCGGTGCAAGAAAAGTGTTCGGGCATGGGCAGTTGTGGCATGGGTTTCTAGTTTCTAGCCTCGAAAATTCAATGTTGCGTGTCGAGCGTGTGGTCCCTGAGGAGTGACTGCAGTCTTCTTCAGCGAATTCCAACCCGAGGCGGATGCTAGAGAGGCACTTGATGGCCCACTGTGAAACGATGTTGCAAGCAAAGGCTCTCCGAAGGCTTCAGAAGGCTCCTGTCAGCTCTGATTTGCATATGCTGAGATGCTCTTAGTCTTGGTGCACACGTGCTTCCAGAGCCTGTGCATCAGTCTGTAAGCCTGTAAGGATGCAGCAGCGACCAATCGCATGCAGCGCCACAGTACCATTTACAGGTAGCTGTTAGCCTTTTCACGGGAGCATCCTGCGCGGAGTACTCTCTTCCAAAAATATTCCCCTAGGCAGGACATTGCATTGGCCTCAACTATCTTTTCTGCTCCATCTGCACAAAGACTAACTAGCACTCTCCTGAGCGCACAGGTCCTCACTGTGCAATGAGACATAGCAAAAACGACTGGGAATGAGTCCCGTGATACGGGCCACCGCATGCTCCACTCTGACTTGCTTCTGAACACAAGCAACACAATCCTGACTGAAGCGACAACTCTGTGCGCAACGATGCTCCCGCGAAGTGTGAATTGCAGATCCTTGTCGGAAATCTGGGGACCCGCCCTTGATATCTTCGCTCTCCGAGATCATGAAACACCAACACCCCAAACCACCTGTCCAGCTAATTCGAGCATTTGGGGCTCGGAGCTGCTCCTTGCAGCCTTCTATACTTTCGACCGCACTTTGTGAATCGAGCCATATCCTCACGCTCGTAGCAACCAACGGTTTCCCACGGCCACCGTACCGGCACTTACCCTGCACCTCTCACGAAACCAGGGAGGAAAGACTGCTCTCGGCTTAAGTGGTCTCCTTATGAAAAGCCGCGAAAGCCGTCATGGACGGCGTGGGCGTGGCCCCCCGCCAGCAGCTGGTGTGCCCGGCCTAGGCTCCTCCTCTCTTAGGAGTGGGACTGTCGAAAAAAAGTCAGAAAAATTCAGAATTCCTTGATGGGCATTGAGAGCGGGTCTTTGAGATGGTCCAGCTTGAAACCAGAGGGCCTAGTGTATCGTGCAAGTTCGGAAGCGTTTTATACTCCGAGTAGCATCCTAGTCTTTGAAGTCTGCAGCAGCTACGTGCTTATTTGATTCTTGGCGTTGGGGCGAGCATTGGGTCTGGGCAAGGGGGTACTTTGGCGTGATCGAAAGGTCCGCGAATGGACCTCTCTGTGCGGCCATGCAAAAGAAATGCTTGTCGACGGGGTACCTGCAGGGAAAAGACAGTCGGATCTTCTGTCTCGTCGGGCTGAAAAGCTGTGGAGGAGTATGCAGGTCGCGTTGTGGAGGGCATGGGTGGCTTTTCTGTAAGCCTTAAGCTCTCCCATGCCACACCGACAACAACTCTTAGTGGCTTGGGGTTTTTGGATAAAGGCACACGGCGGCAGCTGACGCAGAGATCATCTAGAATCTGTGGCGATACAAGCACGTCTGTTCTTTCTGGTCGCGGATCTCGAAACAAACGCACTGCAGGGTTGAATAGCCGTACCCTGAAAGCAACTTTGGGAGCCTTGGGCCTTCCTCCAACAAGCAAACCTACGCCCACGCACACCCTTGTCTCCCTCGTCCCATGACCTTGGGAGCTGAGGCATGGAAGGATGCTGCCCCGATTCGTTATCCTTGTTTTTTTGCTTGCTAGAACTCCCCCCCTCTGTCTCTCTCTCTCTCTCTCTCTCTTCTGCTTTCTGTCCTTACCTTGCTCACATCCATCAAAAGCGGCCTGGAATCCTGAATCCCTATAGTCCCTATATAAGCTATCTTTCCAACGAACCAGGCCTCTGGCCTATAAGTTCTGCTGCTCGACGACGCCCTTGATATACTCCGCTCCCACGACCTTATTGGTATCGGGCGAGCAGAAGGCCTCAACCTAAGCAAGCTGCATAGACGTTATCCGGCAGCTCCTGGATCCAGAATCAATGTGTTTGACTTTCATTAGCACACAATACGGTTATTCAGGGTTTAAGTGTGGGGTTCAGGTTCACATTTGCTACTGCAAGGCATCATTTTCTCGCAGGGACACAACGGTCGAATCCCAGAACGAGAACTACAGGCTGGCGAATGGCCGCAGTCCGTCAAACTTGCATCAGCACGACGAGTTCCGTTGGCATCTATGAGATTCGCTAATCTGAGAAATGACGAATGGAACTATCCAAACCCAAAGCCCTAAAACTTCAACCTTAAAGTAAAACTCAAGCCCGCTACATTCCGCACAGGTGCTGTGTCATCTGCCTCCATCGGGTTCTCTGGCATCTCTGTTGCCTGACGCCCAAGGTCGGCCTGCGGTCCAGAGTCTGTTGCTTACTAAGAGTCTCAATATTGCGACTCTTGTCATTTTTGCTATTACTTCGTGCTTGCTTTCACAATGAGTAGTACTGCTGTTAAAGTTGCAGCTGTTGCTACAATATTGCTTGTTTCTTATAAAAGCCGTCGATGAATAAACCCCATTGTTCAAGGGTCTAACACTCGGATACTTTATTAGGGGCATTTCCAGCATCACACTTTCCTTGGCTATCAGTACATGCCGTACTCTTTAAAACTCGTTGTGTTCTTGTGATATGTCATCGCTACCGCCAAGATCATCTCCTTGGTACTCTATTCGTAGGACAACGGAAAAATCGATCAGGAACTACAAAGCTACCACCACCACTATCATAAGTACTACCATTACCACCGCGCTGAAGCAATACGACGGCGACGCTAGGACGTCGCCACCGCTGACGACTCCTTCTAGCGCTGCTGGTGCTTCTTCTACTGGGCTTTGAAGTATCCAGGGAGACTTGTTTTCATAATGGTTCCTTGAAAGTAGGAGGTCCCAGAGAAAGCATTAAAGTATACTACTCCAGTCTACTGCTGGCACGGCGACATGTATCGGGGGATGGGTTAGAGATACAAGCACTCGAGGCGCGGGGATTTCATTCTCAACAAGCATCTTTTTCTAATTCAGGCTTTACGCTGGGGGCGTTGGCTTCCGGCACGGGGAGAATCGAATGAGGATTGTTTGAAGCGTAGGGTGCCACTAATCGAGGGCCTGTCCGTCTGCGCGATGCATGGTGCTTGTGATGCTGTGCGTCGTGAAGTATTGGGAGAAACAACCTGCGCACGCAAGCTCTGAACCCTTACAGGAACCCCTTCAAGGAACCTGCAAAGGAACCCTCGTGGGGACCGTTGGAGGAATCCCAAACTAATGGCACGAAGCCTTCAAGAGGAGCCTCACCGGAGGAACCCTTGAAAGAACCCAATAATCATAGCAATCCTCAAAAGGAGCCCTCATGGGATCTTATCGTGCCTTCTTTTGCGCCGGTGTGCTGGCAGCAGTCCAGAACCTCGTGAATAAAAGGTTTTATTGGGTTCTCACAAGGGGTAGCACCTCCAGAAATAGAAAAAGGCTTAAGGGAGTATCTGATGCTATGGCTATACAGGGACTCCAACGGGATGTTACAACTTTGCGCTGCAGGCCCCAACTAGGCCACGGGTCTTGTCATGAATTTTTCAAAGGCACACACTAACACCAACACACACGCAACCATTCGTTTCCTGAAACCGGACCTGACCGAGGCATACGACATGTTTCGACCACAAATCTCGAATGCCGCGAATACAGGTGCAGTATAGTATGTTTGTAAGGATTATTCAAACCTCTGTATGGAATTGAATCTCCAAGCCCAGCTTCCGGTTCCGGGTCGAGCAGAAAATGACCACGGCCCCGTTCCGAATTGAAATATACTTGTGGTGAGTTTATCAGAAAAAGCGATCCTCCGAAACGAATGCGAACACAACATAAATCCGATGCCAACCCCAGAAACATCAAAAATCCAAAGCCCCTCTACTCCCTCGTTGTCCAAGAGACAGCAGCGTAGACAGCACCGCCAGCCATAGTACCCAGAAGGAGTAGAAGAGCTCCTCAGAGCCTTGGTTCTTGGCAGCTTCATACTCTAAACCCTATAACTTACCTTTGGCTAGGAGGGAATGGAGGAATTGGGTACAATTTTAAACTACTATTACTACTATTCTTCCATTCCCTACTAACCAAAGGCAAGATAAAGGAACCATTAATGGAATCTTGAAAGGAACCCTACCCCCTAAACCTTTAAAGGCTTTGTCTTTGCGCTTAGGATTGAAGAGGGGGTCTGGGACGCCTGAGGGCTTGTGGGTTTTGAAGAGCTGAGATGGTTAACGGCTGGAGAGTTTCAGGTCTAGGATCAGGTTGGGAATATTTTGGGTTTGACAACAGGTTTGTGCTGAACGATTTAAGCGTCTTTGGGGCCTCTTTGAACCGTGCGAGGCTTTTGATCACTGGCGTCATTCAATTGGAGCACCTTTCTGCCAAATAAATTAAGTTGCCAGGTCTGGCAGCCCTCTCTGACTTTTGCAGCGTGGGGCTTGCAGGCTTTTCTACGGCTCAGGGTTCCTCGGTAATTGTCGGTTCAGAGTTTAGTAGACCGCCTGTGATCGGTCACCTTACATCTTGCAAGGAGTGGGAGATGCAAACTGGCAACAAGTTTGACATCAGAGGGCCGCAGTTGAGTTGAGGTACTATAGTATGCCCCCAAAATTACCGATACTATTTTGGTGGTTCCTTATTATACATATATAATAACGCGCCCCCCAAACCTTATGCTGATTATTATTAAGGGGCCTATATTACCCTTGTGGGGTCACGGACCGGGAACTCCAGTATCCATTCCCTCGCAGCCTCGCGTCCATCAACCCTATGAAATCATCAGCACTCATCGTCGCTGCTTAATACACTAGACTATCCTGGACTATAAGAAGCCCTATCCGATCTCGCTGTATTCAGGGAAGTCAGGTTTATTGGGCGGAGATCCACATTAGCCAGCTGTCTCGTACTCATAGCACGAGCCCTAAACCCTAAACCCCTTTTGCTGCAGGCTTGCTTGCAAGCCTTACCCTAAACCATAAACCCCTAAACCCTAAATCCCTAAACTCCAAACCCTAAACCCCTAAACCCCAACTCATAGCACACACAAGGCACCGATCTGCAAGGAGACGATCAAGGTGGCCAGAACGACCATGAGGCCTGCCTTTGATATGGGAGCTTCTGAAAATAGGGGACCCTAATATAGCACCCTAAATAGTAGGATCCTGTATCCCTAATCTTCGCCATATTTCGGGCCCTGAACCCTGAACCCATCAAGCCTGCTTTTGATTGAGTGTGGTCTCGGCGCTGAGCTTCCGGGCTAATGGAACCCCTTCTGCGAGGTCAACAGTAAATGGCTAGCCTATCTACAACATTTTGCAAATATTCGATGTTCTGTATCTGCTTCTGTGCAGACGGGTATCGATATAGAGGTGGGCTACGATGCTGCTGTTGGCAGGCCAAGGAAGCATACTCCAGAATATGCGGGGATCTCATGTTGCGTCAGACAACAACTGCAATCGGCACGCGATTTTTTCAAAATTTGTTGTGTTGCAACCCCTCCCGAGGGACTCGCTGCGATGGGCTCTCGGCTTGGGGTAGTGACTCCAATGGCAAAGCTTCAATCCAAGCGGCGACTAAAAGGTACGTTGGCCTGGCAGCACGGCAAAGCTGCTGCAAGTCTGCCGCGACGAACTACTACTGTACTGCAATAGTACGGGCAAGCAAAGAGAAAGCAGCCGCATCAGGTTTCTCCGACTAAATTCACGAGCAGTCACAAGTCTATGCTCGAAGATACGAGCAGAGCAAGCTCTCAAAGCAGCGCCTCCATCTCACAAGATCAACGACAGCCTTGTCCGTGCGCTGCACCTCCCGGGTGATCATAACCAGACCGTGGCTTCTTGCGACATGAACGAAGCGGTCTACTTTGCTCGGGGTCCCTGATTCAGGGTTACCTACTATACACGATGTATGTATGTATGGATGCATGTATCATATATTTACATACACACGCGCACATGTGTGATCATGTATGTCCGTGCATGCTAGCATACATACATGTATATATATATATATATATACACACACACCATATATACACAGACACACTAATTATCTGAGTACTTTTGTTCGTGTTTTATAGACATAAGTATATATATATATATATATATATATATATATATATATATATATATATATTATACACACACACACACACATATATATATATATATATGTGTGTGTGTGTGTGTGTGCATGTAGACAGAGTCTATATACTCTGTGCCAGGGCACATAAGAAATCGGTCGGCCGATTCGGCCGCACATTCGCCTCCGTGCCGGCGCACGAGTAAGACATCTAGCAGTCCAGGGTTGAGGGTTTGCGGGACCGATGCATGGTTTCAGGGAGTTACGCTCTCCTAACTGGGACACGCTGAACGAGGTCCCTCGGTTCTCAGCCGAAGCTCGGGGAGATGCCCTCACCGTGTCACCAACGACAATAAATACTTAAAAGGTATACACCCGAACATACCTCCAGCAAGTGAGGTTGAGGGTTCGGACACTGTTTGGACTCTGACAACTGGGAACACCAGGCGAGGTTGTTCGAGTGTCTACATGAGGACGGTAGCATTGGCCGAGCACGTCAGCCCAACCACCACTCCTTTAGGGTTTAGTCTGTCTCTTCCCTGCTTGCTAGGACGAACCTACGATGCAGGGCAGGTTCAGGATTAGGAAGTGCAGATGAGGGGGAATGAGCAGACTTCGGAATTCGGACTTGCGAAGCTGAGTTTAGATGTGCTTACATACTGAACACTTCAAGCCTCGCAGCCGCGCACGACCCGATCCAGGTGGTGTGAAAACTTCCAGCTCACACGCCAAAACCGCCGAAACTTACCCCAGAAGCATCTAAAAAAGCTCCTGCTCCGGTGAAATCAAGCACCATTGAAGCAATCAGATCTTGATGCTTTGATTGCGCATGTTTACTGTTGCACTTTCGAACTATTATCTTCTACGTCTCTTGGCAAAGCAACCGCGACGTTCCTCGGTGCTGGCAAGTTGCCGCAGACAAGGGATATAGGTGGCGATGAAGACCTCGAGACATGCTTGGAGGGCGAACGGGACCTTTTTCAATAGCATGCAACAAATGTTCGGCAATCTTCGTCTTGACGATGCCGACCTCGATTCTATGATTCTAGGTAGGGTGGGTGACTGTGATAAACATCATTACACCCAAACCCAGACAAGATTGCCTCCAAGCAAATTCTCAGGAAGGCTTGAACCCAATCAATCTCCCGTTGGAAGCACCACCACTTCGAATGATTGTACTTCCCACATGTGTGCCTCAACTTTAATGAAGCCAAGGGGCAGAGCTGACAGCAAGCACGAAAGCCACGAAGTAGACATGGAAGAAGTGTAGGTACGGCTCAGGGACCTCAGCTGCTCAGGAAGGAAACGGGACTAGCATCAATCAATCATGGAGGTTCAGGCTTTTCACTCACCTTTCTGGCATAAGCCTCTAAGGCAAAGGGAAGCCTCAACTGCTCCAATGCCCTCCCTCTTGACCGGCGGAGGTGCCTGCACCTTGGAGGAACGACCCTCACATGAACCCTGCGGGCAGTCAAGCTCTCATGAATATCATCCTTGGCTTCCATATTACAATTCTATATGTATGTAGGATCCAACCCAAGGGTCCTTCGTATAGGAACCTCTTCTCCATATCTAGCCTTAGTTGCAGGGCTGACCACATTTTAATTAGCAACACGTAAACCCTAAATTGCAGGTCAAGGAGACGAACTGGCCCGCCGCAATGGCGACGACACCCACGGCGAAGCCAACTTTCGCAGCAAAGGCATCCTCGGGCGCGCTTTTTGCAGTCTTACTTGTCCAGGTTCATCAAAACGCGAAACCTGCGAGAGCATAAACGGATTCTCGGGTTACGAGTATACATAATCCAAGCAAGGTCAGTAAAGTGGCTCTTTACCCTACGAAGTTTTCGAAAGTATTCGATCCAAGAGCTCCGAGAGCAGAGATTAGAGGCCCGTATTCGGTTTGTGGGCTCGCTCGCGTTCGAGTGATCGCAGTGGCTTTATGCTGTGGCGTTTGAACCCCCTCATCTCTGGATGTGTTGAATAGGGAGATGTTGCACCAGATGTATATTATGCCTCTACCGCAGTCTGGGGAAGTTCGTCCATCGAATTGTCGTGGAGGTATCCAGACGGACTACTGAGGATATGCATCCAGTACTTTTTGGTTCCGGCATTGCTACAGCCAGTAAGTTTTTGTTGCCATCCGCCCAGCAGGGTGGCTAGTCCCACGGGCGCGGCACAAAGCCAGCACGACCAACCAAGCACACACTTGACGCCACTAGTAACCAGCATCAAACCTTGAAAATCCTATAACACCCGGTAACACCCTGCTGAGGCCGTACAAAACGGCGTAGGCACTCAGCAGTCTAGTTTACCGAACGCTTATGTAAAATGCTCGTCGATGTTCCATGTTTAACTATGCGCGTCTGCTGGTGCCTGTCTCCTGCAGCTTCGGACATCAACACACTGGGATCATGCTGAACCCAAACTGGTTCGTCCACCTGACTGCTTCATGATGCATGGACGGCATGGAAGTGCCCAATTTCCGCATCCCATTTCATCACAGTGGCCGGCAGCGACGTGGCGATGCCGACAAAAAAGATGGAGACAAGCGGCAAGGAAAGAACCTCGTCTCGGAGGTCGGAGGTTGACTGGGCTGTTCTTGGAGGGTGTTGAGTCTTGCATGTTTTGCTCTTGCGTCGGGATGTAGTATTCGAAGAAGACCGTGTGGATATGTTCAAGTATGGCCTACCGAATTTAGATCTAAGGCGAGCTTGAGCTGACTCATGCAGCCTTCTGATTGAGCGGCAATGTTGTTGACACTGAACCGAAACGGGAGACTGAATTAGAATAGGGCTGCACTAGGGCTTTGGGAAATATTTTTATATGGTAACTAAATAAAAATAGAAGGAAACCAGCAAGAAATATAACGAATTATTCGGGCTTCTATACAAATGTGCTGCCCATCTGGGTTTTGGGCAGCTACAGCCTTGGGTATGGACCAGGCGGTGGGAGGGGCGGCCGCTAACCGGGATGGCAAACAAACTACTTGAGCGAAACCTGATGGTGGTTTCTAGTATGTCCATAACCATATCAATATACTAGGACATCTACCATCACGACAATGAAAAAATGTCGATGGTGGTCGATGTGCAGTCGATAAATTGCAGCCATGGCCGTTCAGGCCTGGTAACGCAAGGCTTTTGCTGCAATGGGACTGCCAGTCCTACCATACACGCTTCGTTTAGCTCCACTGGGTGTGCATACTGATATTTCCTTTGATCGGTGTATCTGCATGTAACTAGTTTGCAATGTCTTCTCTTCCACTTGGAATTGCCATTTGGTAGCTGTGCAGAAGCACTGTGTTGGCATTCACACCTACATGCCGGAGGTAGTCAGAGAGAAGGCGAGACAAATAAATAGAACGAACGAGAAGGAGGGGATCCTAACTACCGGTGCAGAGTAGGAAGTACCATGCAGCAAAACGAAGATACGATCCAAAACTAGTCTACAGTACTACTGTACACTGTACCTAATACAGCGACGGTGCCTATCAATGTTCTCCGTGTTTCTGTTGGGCAGTTAGATTAGACAACAGCTAGGTGCAAAACACATTTGGGTTACGTAGAACAATTTGAATTACCCGTCCCCGTGGAACGGACCCAAATCGAGAGCCAAGGTGCAGTATTTACATGCTGCTGGAAGGAGAAGATTCCGTCCTCAGGACACTGCACAGGGCCGCAGGGCGTTGCGTGTCGGCAAAAAAAAAGCATGGCTGAAATATCCTTAATTTTCATTGATTGGCGAGGGAGGCGCATGCGGAAAGGTTCCCCCAATTACTGCGCCAGTGCCCCCAATTATTTACACACGATCCGGTCACGATCAATGCGCCCGCGAGTTTACCCACGATCCGTGCGCGTGCGTTTTCCGGAAAGCAGGAGTATTTGCAGATTCCACTGCGTTGGACTCATGTTCAAGCAGTGCATTGACATGGGCAGGAGCATTTCATCCCACAACATCATGGGGAGAAGGATTTGGCCCTGGGAGGAGGCATGCTGGTCACGCCTGTGAGTCCGGCCAGTACATGGCGGAAGCACGGTAGCCGTTTTGTACTGGTGGCCTCCCTGCTTTCCCAGTGGTCTTTGGGTGCACTTCTGGGGCCTTGGGGCAGGCTGTTGCTCTCCTTGTGGTCTTCATCATTTACACTGGCTTGACTGAGAAGAACCTCCTAGTGAGCTATTCATGCACAGGGCCTCAGTAGGAGCTCCAAATAATGCAGGTTGAGACGAGAGGCGATGTGCTCAAAGAGCGGTGCGATGACGAAAGAAGCCAACGTCATCAGGCCACCAAACCTTGACAGCTGCAAACGCGCGGCGAACTCTCGCCGTCACACACACAAACACACACACACACACACACACACACACACACACACTGACTGTCTGTCTGTCTGTCTGTCTGTCTGTCTTTCTCTCGCTCTCCCTCTTGTGTTTTCTTCGTTTGCTGAGGGGCGGTGATCACCTTCGACCCACTGACGAAATGATAGGAAGGCCAGGGTCCCCGCATCCGAAAACGGCCGAGGTGTTGAGGCGCCACGTTGCTGTTGTGGTTGCTGCTGCTGCTGCTGCTGCTGCTGCTGCTGCTGCGGTTGTTTAAAACGATGCTGTTGCTGCTGTGGCCGGTGTTGCTGTAGTTGTTGCCCTTGTTGTTGTTTTCTGCTGTTGTTGATTCGTTGCTGTCGCTGCTTCGGCTGCCGGTGTTGCTGTTGCTGCTGTTATTGTCGTTGCCGCTGTTGTTGATGTTCTTGTTGCTGCTGCAGTTGCAGACAATGTTGCTCTTCGTCTTGTTCGTGTACTTCGTCTGCTTAGAGTCTGTCCATATCCGATTCTCTCTTCATCTACCTGCTACTGCAAACGCCAAGTAACCATGAACTTGGGCTCAGCGAACCTACTTCGGCTTATCATGTTGCTCGGCCTGCACTCGACACTGAACCAACACATGGTGACAGCTGTTCCTTGCCTCAAGTCCTCTGCTGGCAGAACAGCAGTTACGCCAAGCTCCTGATATCCTTCGTACCTAGTTTAGAAAGCTCCTTCGGAGATCGTATTTGGGCTCCCAGGGCCCAGTGACAGAGTCGACACGAAGACGATCCGCTTATCACTCGCATCCTTGTTGATGTAAACCTTGTAGATTTCCAGGCCGAACAGGGTCGCAGCCTCGGTGGGCAAAGTCTCCGGGGGTTTGAGGGGCGACCATGTTATCAAGAGTGGAGGCCCTGAGCCAGTACATCAACAAGATGCTGCTGTTCCGCTACCAGCGCTACCATCATTGCCATCACCATCGTCGTAGCCACTATCGGTCTGTCAGTGCCTCTCTGCGCTGATCGCGACAGCTTTCGCTTGCCACACGGCATTGCCATCAGTAACGACACGCCCTGAAACATGGTTTTTTGATGTTTTTTGTTGAACCCAGGCCCTACTCCGCCTCTGAAACATGTTCTTGCAACTACAGTATTGGGTCGCTTCTGCCCCTGGTCGTTGCTTGACTCTGCGACATTAGCTGTCCCACGAAGCTCTACCTTGGTGCCAGTGCCCGGACATTTGGTATGGTAAGTGGGCAGTTCGCCGAAGTAGGTCCTGTTAGGTCCGGTCCTGTAGAGGGCACGTCGCACTGAGGGCCCCGATACACAAACAAAGGATGCAGCAGCAATGCCGGGATATGGGTGGTTGTCATTTTTAGAGTCCTTTTGGGTCCTTATTGTAATACGGCACCTAATATTTAGGGTACCCCAAGGTGTGCCATAATCTTGACAACCACCCATTTGTTTTCTTCAGAAAAGGGCCACTCTACCGCCAGATCGGACTCCTTTCTTCCTCGTGAATCCTCGTGATCCACCAATTATGGTCCCTTTTCTAAATACGGCACCTAATATTTAGGGTAGCCAAAAAAAGGCCATAATTTTGACGACTACCCATCTGAGCACCGAGCAGAATTGAGCGCTGAGTTGAAGCTGGAGAGAACGCTGCCGACCAGCACCTGATATCTCGCATTGCAGAATCCAAGTCTCAAGAAGGAGGCTGTCGCACTTTGCTGCACTCCGCATGCAAAGGGCGGTAGAGGGCAGCAAGGCGAGCCGAGGGATTGCAGCAGGATGTAACTGGCAGGAAGGGCAGCAAGGAGGGGACGGGTGTTCCAAAAGTACGGCGAGTGTGCAAAGGATTGACAAGATCGGGGTCCGTTGCAAGATACTGTAGTCAGATACTGTGTGTAGTCTTTGCTTGGGCTAGACTAGAGTCTCCCGCAGGCATGTTCGAGCATGCCATACTGTAGCACACCAGCACAGCAAATCGCTCGCCCACGCAAAAATCGGGTGTCTCTCTGTGGCAGCAGGCTTGACAGCCATACAACTTCAGTCAAATGGCAGCTGCAAAGAATCCCAGCGACCACAACGGCATCACCGCTTTCCTTGGAATCTTCTATGTCTGGCCGAAGCTGGCGAGTGTAGGTGTAGGTACGAGGCGGAATATGCTGATCGGAGTGTGGCTATGGCAGCAAACCTTACATGCTGCAGGTTCGAGTAACTATAATCAATCTACTGTGGCAATGTCGCTGCAGGAGTCAAAACAAGTTTCAGGACTCCAGGACAGCCACAGTGACAAAATATTTGGGAAAAGTCTGAAGTGCTGGCTTGCCAGCTCTCAGTACGACCATCATCCTGGCGTGGAGTTCAAAAGAAACGGCTGTTGCATCTGTCTGAAGAACCCAGGTGCCTGAACTTCGGGTTGAATCTGCGAGTGTATCATGTAGCCCGTGCTTTGGGTCAGGGCCTTTGGGCCTGGAATTGCCGAGCGGCACCAACTCTGGATAAACCTGACGGGCTTGGAAGAATCGCAGACAAGGTACACAACTATGTCTGTGTCAGTTTTGCATCGCTTCATTCCTTGAAGCAAAGCCTCGCCGGGTTTCGGACGTACCGAAGGTATCTAAGATATCTAAGCACTCGGCCCGCTCGGCCCGACACCCTAGGAGCCTCGACTCGCAGAAGCACGCCATATGGTTTGTACAGGACAAAAACTTGTCGAACGTCGGATGTCTGGATAGAGTATATATTTGTGGCTCTACTCGGAAGGTCAACGTGACAAAATGGTGCACTTGCACTTGGAAAGCTGATCCAGCATCCCAACCCGCCGAAGGTACCATGTTTCGACTGATGCCAAATTCCTGAACCCGAGATTTGGATCAGTCTAGCTTGCAACTGTCGCCTTGCCACACTTAAAAAAGCTAACGGGCGCCCAAACCCACGAAAGCTTTACCAATGCCTCATCGTCATGGGGGACGGTGAAGACCTCTTGGCGCCACGGGTCTTGAAATGCTTCGCGCTCGGAGACACAAGAAAAGGCAAACCCGCGCTGCTGAGTCACTTATTGCGGGGTCAGGAAGCAAACAAAAAGATGAAAGGGATGAAGGAAACAACAAACATGTTTTTCCCACCCGCCCAGCTGAAAGATCGCACCGCAGGGAAAACGTCCGAAAGTTGACTGCCACTTCTACCCCTCTACGCGCAAGATCAACAACAAATATATAGTACGGAAGACTCCTCCCACTGCCTACGTTGTCCCGTTGCACTTCGAATGGTGAAGTTGGGAAAGCAGTCATTTTCTGTGTGCCTCTATAAATAAGACCTCTCATCGGCAACAAGCCTGCCCCCAACACTCAATATAACATTCTGTCCACTCATATCGCCAAACCCCAGACGCTGAGCCCTCCTTTTCTCTTCTCACACCGTCAAACCCCGGACCCTTTTGCATCCGGGCTTGGGAAGTCGGCCTGGGAAAACCCCAGACCCTAAATCCAAATTGCGGGCACGAACTTGCCTTCCCACCAATCGTGGCGCCACTGCGGACGAGGGCCAGGCCGATGACTCCTTCCGAAAGACTGAGGGTTTGATATTTGTACATAATTATATATATATATATACATACACGTACATAACTATGAACATGTTGTAAGTTCACCGTATTTTGCATGTACATATATCTACACACATACAGATGTGTGTGTAAATATATATATATATATATATATATATATCTATATATAATATATATATATATATATATCTATATATATATATATTATATATATATATATATATATATATGATCCCGGTTCGGCCGGCCCCCCCCCCTCCCCCCCCCCAATGGTTCCGCCTCCCCCCTGTGGTGTGGTGTGGTTGTGGGTTGCTTCCCCTGTGGTGTGGTGTGGTGTGGTTCGGGAGTGGGTCTGCTGGTTACCCCACTCCCCCCTGTGGTGTGGTGTGGTTTGGGTTTCCTGCGTGGGTCTGCTTGGCGTGTGAGCCCTCGTGTGGAAAAAGCTTGCACAGTCACACACAGATTCGGCTTGGGGGGGGGATACCAATGGGGGGGTGGGGGGTCGGTGAACCGAGAACCGGGATCATATATATGTGTGTGTGTATATATATATATGTATATATATATATATATATGACGTTGTATGAGCCGCACGCACCACGCCGTCTTTTTCCGGCGGTCGTACTAAAGCCTGATTCCTGTGACTTTGGACTTCTCAGGGTGCCTTCGCATATTCACACACCAGGACGGCTTTTTCTGAACTCCCGACCACCCTAAACCCCTTGTTACGCCCTAGAGCAAAATTGTCTGAACCCTCAAACAGGTGAAGTGTTGCTTCGCGATTTGTTGGTTTGCTTCTCGTGGAATTTCCTTGGCGTCTCTGTACATCGGGAATTTCTCTTTGCAGGGTTATGGCATGTTTGGTCAAGCTAAAGGGAATGCCGTTCGGCCGGGTAGTGTTTTGTGGCAATCTCTTGGAGTATCCTATTGGCAGGGTCTTGTTTTACGTCAAGCTAGTGAGAATCTTCGATTCACGGAACGGCAAGGAGTTCTTCACTAGCTGCATGCATATTACGGGCTTCATTTGAGTAATGTGGAAATGTTATATAGGAGTTTATGGTTATGTTTCGCAATCCTGGCAAGGTTTGACACGACGCGTCCGATACGTGAAAGGATCTGCTGGTGCTGTCAGACGAAGTACAAGACATGAAAACAAGCTACAATCATAGTCATCACCCGCCGTCCTGAAGGACCAGAATGCTACACTCTGCTTCAAACACGCACGGTATGCCGGCAAACGCTGAACACCCGACAATCAGCCCTCAAAACGAAATGAAGTGGAAGTGCGGAAAATCAGCCATGTCAACAGCCAGCCTGGCAGGCAAAGGAAAACGAAGCCGACCACCTGGCAAGAAGGCTGCAAGAAATGCGGTCTTTCGAAGTTTCGACTCTCGCACTCGCGCACGTAGGGGGTGGGGGCTGGAATCAAGCCGCCAACCTTCATCGCAGCGGCGAAAAGCACACCTTTCTGTCCTTCCAGGCTCAAGGGTCAAAGCAGCAGAGCATGCCAGCGTATAAACCGAACAAGATGGTGAACCCTGTGGTTTGATGATGCTGGTGCAAAAAAGAAGGCAGCCACTCTTGCTGCGATGTTTTCTTATCGTCCACCAAAAATTTGTTTCAGGGAAAACCGTGCTCTCCGCCTGTTCCCACTAACTCCATGCACGGATGCGAAGCCTAAAGGCCCATCCCGCCATGCAGTCCATCAGCGAGTGTCTTGGCTGCAAGAGCTCGTTGGACGATGACCTGCTGGTCTGCGCTAAGGGGGATAGCATAGAGTCGTTGAAACGGACCAGATCTGTATGGGCCCGTGGGGCTCAAAGAGACTCCAGTGCATTTTAAAGACGAAATAGATCATACAGTGCAGTCGAGAGTGTTGAGCTTCTGCCAGATGAACGCAGGCGGTCAAGACTAGATATGGCGAATTAACGTACTAACTGATGTTGGCTTCTGTGTTTAGTATGTGCTTCATGCCTCGGCTTGCAATGCTTCTATTAGCCTTGACATACTTCCAGCACTGTAAGAAAAAGACTGCTTGCTGTGACCTAGTCGTTGTTCCATATTGGCCAACTGCATGGTCTTAGGAGCGGTTACGCGATATGAAAATGCTGCGATTAGGCCTACATCAGTAAGCTTTCTCCATTCTTGCTACTGCTGCTCTTTCTGACTGTATTCTGCGAGAGACCTTGAGCCCCTGGGCTTGGGCCTCTGCCGGTAGCCAGATTTCGCAACTCTAACAACAAGAACAGTTTTGCAGGCAAATTTTCTATACCCACACAGGGACACTTCAGTACTCCTATCGCATCTGGCAAGCTGGGGACCCTCCTGTCCCCTACATCACGGCATTGCTCCAAGATTGCCGGGGTTCTGGCACAAGCAGTTGCACCAACAATGGCGATGTGCAACGTGTGTAAACTATACAAAGAAGAACTGACTGATAGTTCCGCCTGCCTGGTTCGTGGACCAATAGTAGATATTCATCAGGAAGAGCCCAGTGAAGTTCACATGCCTCAGCGGCAGGGTCCATGATACATGTGTATGAAAAAACGTGTTTATATATATATATATATATCTGTATATATATATATATATATATAGACACATACACTCTATATATATATATATATACACATCATATAAATACATATATGGTGACGCGCATGCTGTGATCATAAGGAAGTATCCCCGGTGAGCAAAGCTCCGTGGCATGTCCAGACATTGCTGCGGCCGATGCCCCCCGCACACTTGCAGAACCCCACCTCTTTTAGTCGATAGAAACCGTAAATGTAAACCCTGCAGGAACCCTATTAAGGAACCCTGTGTGCCATTAATCTCCGGCAACCCGGGCCTTGTTTAAACGCTCCACTTGCAAACTGCCGCCATAGTAACGGCATCTGTTCAGATGCAACTTACACAAGCTATCAGACTTCACGGGTGTCTGCCACTTACACGTGCCGAAAAAACTGCACATATTCATGCAACTTTGCCGAGGCTGCATATTACCGGACTTCATGACTCGTTGTCGAGCGTGAAACAGCTTAGTTTTTCAAAACTACCGGTTGCGACCGAATCTCGGCATCATAGCCTACGTCGGTTGTCTGCAACATTCAGGGCGGATCTTACTCGGAACAGAGAAGCACAGAGACCCAGATGTGAAAAAATGGTTTTGCATCTGGGCTCCATCAAATGATCAAAGCATGCCGTTCTCTCTGTTGAGCTAGCCGCGGTTGAAAACCTATGCCGGACCTGTGTCGTGATTGTATTGGTTCTAATGCCCAAAAGACTCTCCGTGGGAAGCCCACGCTTATCTGAGAAACTTTGCATCCTAAGCCCTAAGCACGACAATGATGGACTTCCTTGAGATTAGGAGATCCCTTTCTCCGACCGAAAGGACGGACACAAAGGTTAACCTACTACGAATGGATACCCGAAGCCCTCAAACCCTGAAGCGGGCTGACGGCCTGGAAAATGCCACGCCAAGGGGCCAGGGCGCTGAAATGCTATGCTCAGCAAGCGGTTTCCTGAGTTTAGGAATGACTTAGGGTTAAAGGCTTGATCGTTAACTTTGGGGCCTCAATATATCTTGCCATTTCTCGTGCTTCTTCTCCATGACTACTATGTCTGTCGTTGGTACTCTTCTACTTAGTATTGTCGGTTTAATTCGCTTAAACTTATTGTTGCTTCTTACAAGTATTGTCATTGCCACCATCATGCCTGCTGTTTCTGACGGCCCTTTGGTCTTCTACTCTCGTACATCGTGCCCCAGGATCAGCGAAGATGAGATCGCCTCCTCACTATACCTTGTGAAACCTGCTTTGACGTGCACAGGGAGCAACCACAGGATCAACCACGAACACTGAAACGGTGCCTAAGCTTGGAGCATGCATACTAAGGCCCTGATGCCCCCCTCTAACTCCTACGCTAAAATGGGCATATCCTCAGCTCCCGACAGATCGTCCGGATGCTCAAAGAGCTCGGAAACTCCTGGCGAGGATGTTCAGGTTCCCCAGTCGCTTAATATAAATGAAATATATATATATATATATATGTCTATAGTAGTAATATATAGTGTATAAATGTCTTCAACTGTAATGAGGACAAAGAGAACCAGCGGAGAAAAGGTATGAGGGTACTACTGCGGAACCTAGATGTACCCACCGTAGAAACCCGACATGAAGGCACCCGGCCGACAAACATAGTGCTTGACTGTTGCATGTTCATGTACGTATGCTACTTGGTGCTATTCCGTACACGGATGGTGCACTACCTCCAGCAGATAGGGCTTCCCGTCTTGCATTCTCCACTCGAGCCTCCAAGTTGATACAGCGCCGCCGCAGGCACCCAAACCTAGATGCAAACTGAGGGAAGATGTGGGGGAACGAAGGGCGCTCAAACTTGGAGCTTCGCCGCCACAACTCGGACCATCCAGGCGAGGCCAATGGTCATAGATCGGCTGAGTTTGGGGTCCACGTTACAATGAGCAGGTAGCCGCTGAGGCTGCAAAGGCACCTGCGTAAGCAACCTGTCATTTGGTGATGCGCATCTTTTTGGGTCGTAAACATGCTTGGGATCCGCCGGCCACCTGCAACAAAGGCAAAAGCACCGGAACAAGTGTGGGAAGTGTTGCACACGGACCCCAAACGGCACCCGACTGATGGCTACACCAATGCTTCCATGCGGCCCCGACGATGAGCAGGCCGATGCCGTTCAAGCAATCGGACACTGCCACCTCGGTGAGCCACGGAACGGCTGAAGCCCTGCAGCTACTTTCTGCATTCCAGCGAAGTGTGAAGTGGCAGTGCCATGTTATCTACGAGCCTGCCAGAAGCTGTAGCAAATCATTGCCCAGATTTGTGCAAGCTATACGCCTCTTGCTATTCTGCCGACCTTCTCAAACAGCTCGTTTCCAAAGATCCCTGGCATCATCATGTTCGATCTAGATCTGGGCTTGACAAGCACCGACAAACATGTCCTCGACTGCCCTGCACACACACACACACACACACACAAACACACACACACACACACACACACACACTCTCACAACTGCATCATGATTCATCTCTTTTTTGCATCCAGGCCTATTGCGACTGCTGGGTACCCTGAAGAACCTGAATCCTAAACGCTGAAAACTAACCCCTTACTTCTTCTGATTTGCAGCTCTGGGGCTGCCTTGAGGCCTCCGAAGAGGGCATAGCAGGCCCCCAGAGAGCCAATCACCGCGCTGACCGCCTTGGAACTTCTGGCTTGAAGGGTCTGTGAGAATATGTATGTATGTACGTATGTACGTATGTGTGTATGTGTGTGTATACATACATATTACATACACACACAGACACACCACAGTTTTGATCGTGGCCATAAAGATGCTGACGACAAGTCGCGTATTAAGATTAGTGCAACCGAAACATGATTGTCCAACTGGGCATCATATGGGTACACAGAGCTTCATTGCTCAGAGCCCTGACTTGGCGCCAGCATCCTTACGCGGGTAAGGGAGAGGGCTTCGGGCTTAAATGCTTTCATGCTTTGGGACTGAAAGGGCTTGATGCTCAAGGTCGAAACGCTAAGTCGTCAGTCTCCTTGCACGGGTCGCTCTTACGGTTGCGCGTGGCATCTGGCACGGATGGATTTTGTGTTTGGGAGGCTTCCTCTCATGCGGCTCTCATGAATCTGACGGAAATCCTCGCGTTGCTCGCATGATAGCAGTTTCTGTCTGCTGGCCCGGGCATTACACAGAGAGAGCTGCAGGCCGAAACCCTCAAAGGCTTCCAAAAAGTCCCAACAGTCCCGCAGTTCAGCCCTGCGGCCCAGAGTGGAATGCTGTGGAGCTCGAAGATGTTACCTCCAGCAAGCAGGACATCGCAGGATGCTTTGTTTCAGCTCACAATCATTTTGATTTTGTCAATGTGGCTTTTGAAATTGCATAGGGACGAACTATGCCTAGGAACTCACAGTTGCTGAAATGGAGCCTATTGAAACTCTCATGGAACCACTCCACGAAGCGAAGGTGCGCATGGCCAAAGAGCCAGTGTAGAGAGCAAAAGGGCACACCAGAAACCTCGGCTGAGCTCATGCCGTTTGTGTTTTCGGCGAGCTTCAAAAAATGCAGCACCCTAATTGAAAAATAATTTAAAAGTTGAGTACTGTTCACTTGTAGGATGAGGAATCCAACGTCCCAAAGAGCTACCTTAAGACAACAACTGTTACATGGGTAGTTGTCAAAATTATGGTCCCTAGTTATGGTCCCTTTTTTGGGAACCCTAAATGATTAGGTCATTAGGTGCCGTACTATAATAGGGACCCAAAGCGGGACCATAATTTTGACAACCACCCACATGTTGATGGAGTTCTTGAAAAACGTAAGAAACGATCTTCAGATGCGTCCCTAGATGGCTGCAGACGACTGATACTACCACCGCTACCACGACTGCTGCGGTGAAGACGCCAAGTGCTGCAGTTGCGGTGACTACAGGCTGCTACAGCTATTTCCACTGCTGCTCCAGATGTCGCCATTTGTCAGTATGACATCACGCATAATGACACTGGCCGTCCGGCGGTCCGAACTCGCAACATGTTCCACCACTAGTCAGCGCATGTAGCCAAACCCCGAACACGATGCGGCCACCCCTTCGGGACACCCGCGCCCGCTTTGCACCAAGTTGCACGTAGAAAACGAGGAAAAGGACAGATCCCATCCTCGAACTTTACATGCCGGCGGTTGACATTGTAAACCAGGCTGCATTCGTGTCACTATCCATGCAACGACAGATTCTCTTTCGGTGGAGCTTCCGATACCTTTCGACACCGTCTGTCAATGCCCATCATGTCTGTCTTGCGACGACTTGTGAAGTCAGCATAACGATGTATTTTGGGGAGCATGCATGCAGTTGTTGGTGCACAAGGCTCATCCGCCAAGATCTTCAGGCTAGCTATATCTGCAGCACCGGAAGCCAACTATTCCGCCCAGTGGCGTGCGGGTGCAAAGGTCGAAACGCTCACCGAGGTAGGCCTCAACGAGAAGGACCCAACTCGAAAGCATCTTACCATGAGCATCTCGAAAGCAGCAGTGTCCCCGAGCTCATGGAAAAGTTCAAGACTCGGGGAAAAGCTCGTCGAGATAGCTGATACTCCCCAATCGGGTTCAACAGCTTCGGCGCTCACGCTCAGGACAGCTTAGTGAGTCTTGTGCCTAGCATTTCCTTGAGCCTTCGATGCAACAGTTGCCAAAGTCACTGCCCCGCTCCACCTCATCTAACTAGAACTGGCCACAGACAGGCTTGTTGCCGGGTTGCCGAAGTGGTTGTCAGCCCCAACGCCATGTATCGTGGCCTGCAGGCTTTAATTGCTCGTGTCGCAGCACAGCTTCAGCCTGAGGAGAGTGCACAGCACCATCAAGATATATCAAATCGTCCTATCGGCAAGGAAAGATCGAGAAGCTGCTCGTTGCACAGGATCATAGACATCAACTCCGGAACAGAAGCAGGATCGGCAACAAAAACAACGGAATAATGATGATACTGTCCCCGAAGCTGCAACATAACTCATGGTGTCTCCTAGTTCATGGCAAGGTAATCCAGCATGTGCCAGCCTTTAACAGGCAGACTGCTCAGTCGATGCGGCAAACAGACTAATTATACTCTCTGTGCAGAATCGCTTGCATCCCCGATGGAAGTTCTTTGCCATTTAACTCAATCACCCTCCTCGGTCTGTCTCTGCACCTTTAGACCTACTCCCCGTTATGCGAATCTTTGCATAACGTCTTGACAAGATGCAAGAAAACGGTGGCGGTCAGCACCATCGCTATGGCTGCACCGGCCTGGGAGGGTGGCGAGACAAGACCTCAGAGCCTTCGTGAATTGATATCTATGATTACCCATAGGCCCCATAGTAGTTCCTTTTGGGGACTACCTTATAGGAGTCTAAATATGAACCGCAGAAAGGAACTACTTTGGGGCCTATGGGTATCTATTATTAGAAGATCTGCGGAGCCGACGAAGTGCATGAAATGGAACACATCAACCCACGTGGAGCATGGTCAGAACGAGAGAAGAAGGGGCTTTCGAACGAGGAAGGCTCACCGAAAGCCTTCTTCGCAACGACCTGGAAAGCTGAACCCCCAAACCCCAAAAGAGACCACAGTCAAGGAAGCCGGCCTCGAACCAAATACCGGCCAGGTTTCGGTCTTTGTAGACCTGCGCGTGAAAAGGAATTGGAAGCTCATAGCAGCCGAACACGGGATAGCTGCAGCCCTCATTACTCGTAGGAGGAGGCAAGCAGTCATGAAGTCACTCTCACCCGAAGCCGATTTCTTCAGACTCGAAGTCAGAAAATTCTCCAAGCTCTGCATACTAAACCTGTCCAACCAATACCACTGCATTCAGGTGACATTGCCGTTCAGGCCCACTAACTGCTCAGTGGAGAGGTTCGTGAGCATCAACGAACCAGCGACCACGTACCTCGGATCGGCATAGAATCGCAGATGTGATTCTTCGGCGGCTTTCAGGGCGTCTTGAAGCGCAGTAGAGTCTTGTGACGCATCTGACCCGATTGAACCCGGGCGCCATTTCAGTGATCGGCCACCTGCGAAGAAGTCATCGGCAGCGCCTGCCATAAGATTCTTGCTGTTAACATGCTTGCATGTCAAACAAACTTAAAGTGGGGGGGCTGAGCACAGCTGCGAAAAAGCGCTGGGAACACAGCCGCCCCCACCGGGATAGGACACGCCTCAAAAACCGTTCATTCAGATAGTAAACTAGTAAACCATCCAGCCAAGATGGCAAACCTGATCTCTCAGCACCCGGCGGATTGCAAAAGCATGACCGTCTTGGAAAAGAGCGACAACAACCGACTCAAACAAACACCCAAACATTCAAGAGCACTGCAAGTTGCGTAATTGAGCATACCAGCTCGTATTTTGCACCTGGCCCAAATAAGCCCCAGTCGAAACGATGGAGAAATGGCGCAAAACGTCGGAACATAAAAGGATCGGCTGCACGGACTCGAGCACCGATCAAACAACACTGTCATCTTGGTTGGGCTCGGGGCCCAGAAAGACCTCACGACCAATCACTGGATCCTCCCGCCAAATTTCAGCGCCTTGACTCTGTTTGTGCTAAATCACTACAGTCTTGAAGTCATGGTAGCTTCAGTGTTCCCTCGCCACCCCGCCTGCCTAAAGCCAAGCCGGAACAACCCGAACACCGTGCCTGTATTCTTGCTCTCCGTCATTACGCGTGTGCAGAGAACCCATGTCGCCAAGCCAACCAGACCAGTCGTGGCCCTGGGCGCTCCAGGGTTGGGCGGGGTCTGTGCAGGAAAGCGGTCTTACAACACTCGCAAGATAACAATAGGAGTATTTCTGATAGGCCTTTTGCAGAAGGTGCTTCAACACATCACTCTCGGAAAGACCCGGACGGATCTTCGGGCTTCGGGCTTAGCGGCAAGGCCTTGCTTCATGCAGAGCGTCAGAAAGCCTTGACGAGAAACACATGCCTCAATACAGCCGAGACTTTCTGATTTTCAAGCCTTCGGGCCGACAGATGTGGGGAGCGAGAGAGTACTGTACGTGCCCAGCGCGCCAGTGATCTACTTTCAGGCCGCCAGCATGCGAGACTCAGACTTAGTAGTGTGGTTGTCGAATCAATAGATTTTTCGCTTCAGGAGCCCAATGCAGATGACCGGAACAGAACAGCATTTTCTCAAAAAGCGGATATTTACCCTAGGGATCAAAACAACCCCAAAGCCTTATATAGTATGGTCTTTGGGCCCAAAAGCCTTACTATATGAGTCCTTAGATCCCTGAGGTTATACCCCGGCCCCAGATCCCGAACCACGAAGACACAGTCCGAGGAGCAGGAAGGTGCAGATGTGAAGCGTAAACTGCTCGGGACCTGAGCACAGCAGCGGTCAGCCGGGAGACTCAAACAAAGGGCCTGGATGCTTAGAATAGGGTTTTGGGACATAATCTACCAAAATTATGTGGGGACTTCTTGGAGATATTGGAGACTGAAGTCGCACTCCTCTAGCCCCGAACGCATGGCCAACAAAGCCTTATGAGAACACTGGCAGGAATACTGAGTATACTCAGGCTACGAAAATCGGTAGATGACGACATTTGGATGATGGAATGTCTCTCACTGATAGCGGACATGCACAACTGAGCACCGCAGTCGCAGCGGTAGTTCTGGCTGCCGCGCACCTTCTCCTCCTGCAACTCAAAACGCGCCACACCAGCTCATGCCAAGGCACTTGGGATCATGATGGGCAACCTGCGCAGAAAACCCGAGCAACTGACAGGCTGTCTTCATGCACCGAGATCATTGGCAGTCATCCTCTCCAATCGTCACCGCAGATTGCCGCAGTGTACTGCTGACACGACGAGCGCTTGCTTCAGATTCTCATGTATCTGCGGAGTTGCATCGAAAGATGCTCGGCTGAACAAGGTCGACTGTAAGCATGCTTGTGCCGGCCGGCACTTGCATGTTTTGCTCGGGAGTCCCAAGTAGAAGAACTAGGGAAGACCTATAAGGAAACCATATTTTTTGCTATAGATCCCTATTCTGGCAATTCAAAGTAAAGTCCTTAACCAGAACCCAGAAGACGCCTGCTAAGCTGAAGGGGAGGTAGGTCAGGGGACCATCGCTGGAAATCCGTGCTGAGGCCCCACCTCTACCATCCCCATCTGACCGATTTCTGTCCGCAAAAAGGGGGTCCGAGTCCTAATCCTAGACACCCCAGACAGACTCTAGACACCCCTAAACCTTAAACCCTAAACCCTGCCCCTTGCAATCCTCATTTTTGACATCAGATCTCTACTACAGGGCCTCATGAGCTCCAAGGTGCTCCTTTTAAAGATGGCTCTAGAAGGGTTAGTGAACCCTGTACCCATATATATATATATATATATATATATATATAGGCTCCATAGTATATGGTTCCTTTTCGGATTACCTTATAGGATTCTAAATATAAACCCCATGCGTGCGGAATAATCAGCAAACCCTCGAGCCTGGATGAGCCTGGTACACTCGGGGCTCTGCTGCAACGAAACATTCCGAAACAGCCTGGCCTCTTCTCTGCGTCGCAGCTCGGCCGCTTCGATTCACGCGCGAAGTGGAAAGAAGAACCCAACTTCAAAATCCTATCACTGCACCGGCTTTCCTCCACGATTGTTGTTGTGGTCAGTATACCTCCACATTTATGCTGGCGAACTGAGTGCCTGAGTGTTTTCTACCAGACGTCTTCGGGCCGTCGGGGGTGCGAGTGCATTCGGCTGGGGTGTCGATCTGATAGCTCAGAGTCAGGGCATGCAACTGTTAAGGGCAGGGCCTTGAGCCGACAAAAACCTGCCACGCGCGAAAAAGGCCTGATGCACACGAAGTAGTGGATTCGACAGAATGCAGCACGACGCTACTCGACGATTCAGCACGGACTCATGAACTCAACAGCCTGGTACAAGCGGGTTGCCATACATGTATATCGTTTACACTCTTGAACGCGACGCCCAGCCTTCGAGCTCTAAACACAGGCCCGGGATTTAGTCAAACAAATAAACCCAAACAGATGCCCTGAAGCCTGCACTTAATCAATCGCCCAACCCCACGAAACTCATAGTTTTGCAGATAGCCCAGCACCTCTGCGTCAAGGCATGCGCCGTACTCTTTCATAATTTGTAAGGTGTGTTAGGTTGGTTTAAGGAGTAGTTGCTCCAAATCAGGGGTAGTATCTCTTGGCTTCTTTGGAGGCTGTAACAGGGACCGGACATGAGGTTTTAAAGCAGCCAATGCAGTATGGATACCCCACCCCAAAATTTATGATAGAGTCTGTTTTGAGCACATGTCACAGACCCCCAGCCCTTTTCACCCAAGCCACAGGACGAAGCCACCAAAGCAAGTGGGCCTGAAGGTCTTGTCCAGGAGCAGCACACGCCACTCCGGAGGCCTTCAAGACAGCTTTCTGCTTCTGCTGCAGGAACTCAAAGAAGAAGTAGCATGGTGCAAGCCATGACTCTTACAAGCAGCGAAACGGTGGTAATGGTGGAATAGTGCATATCGTGTTCCCCATGCTACGGGAGGCGACAGAATTCAGGACCTCAGCCTCAGGATCATGCCACTCTCAATTTTTACGATGGCTAGTGCGCACCTGCGACTGACGGTAAGCTCCAGCTTCGATGTCGAGCTGGTTCGAAGTGTAGCTGGGGGTGGCTGCAGGGGGGCTTTGTACAAAGGCCATTGAGGGCTTATTTGGAATCCGGGCTTCGGATCCTGGGATCCCAACTTGAGAAGCCTCCGGCTCAAAGGGCGGGGGAAACTATGACTATGAATACACGTTCATCTTTCATTACGACCCACCGTCTTGTTCAAGCCCTGTAGAGGCGATAGATGGAAAACCAGCTGTGGCATGTTGCTGCAGGTGTGGCGGTCCAGTCTGTCAGCAACATGTCCTCGAGCAAACGGCTCCATAGCTTAATCGAAGATGCCTTGCTGGGGCACCCGTGGTGAAAGCTGAAAAACGAAACACCGGTGCCTACAACTCCCCACAATGCTCTTGCCTTGCAGAACCCGATGCTAGTACCAGTACCTTGCACCGCCCGCCTTTGTAGTACCTATACTATATCCAATGCGTGGGGATTTGATCTCGAAGATGTTGCTGCTCTCCCCACCAGAGCTGTAATGAATATAGGTGTGGCTGGCTTGCACTCTCCACAGACTGGGACCCTGTCTCTCTCACACTTCCACACGTGCAATCCTATGCAGGCAGAACCGGCGGCCGTTCCTTTTGCACTCGCTGCCGGCGGCGGTTCGTCTGTGCACGGGATAGCTCTGATTGCTCAGGATAGAAGACACATATAGCACTTAGCTATGGGCATTGACTTGAGCCAAACGTTGCGTGGGCGGTCACATAGAAAGGTAAGGAGAAGCGATGCGGTGTGCGTAGCACGACCACAAGCTTACTCCTAGAGTCGAGGGACGCGTAGCGTGCCCCCTTCTCTTGCACTTTACACGGTCTTGCTCACAGCTCTTATAGTGACACCTTAGAACTTGACAAGGCATCGCAGTCCGTTCGCACCCCCCATGAGTTGCGTCTCCGACGCTGCTCACCCGGAAGATGGCACGATAGGACAACAGAAAATGTTCCGCCGCAACGTTGACATTGAAAATCAGAGCTTTGCATCCCAATTAGAAACGTTGTGACACTCATCTACGTCAGTAACGATCCCCTGAAATGGCAAACGAATCAGGCGTCACCGAAGAAAGAAGCATTCGCGATGGCATTCCACGGGCGAAGCTCAGAGGTCACAAACTGAAAGATGATGTGGTTCAAGCATTGTCTCGCCACCATCTTCGCGTTGACGTAGGATCGCGGTCCCAGGGCCGGAGGTTCTCCTCTGGATACGGGTCCCTTTGCTTTCCTTTGTCCTTGCCTTTGTTTCGGCCCTTACTGGCAATGTAGTCATGGTAGGTGTTGGTGTTCCAGCCTCCATGCTGCTCATTTCCAGTTCTCTCACGCCCTTTTGAAGGTCCCTTGGCCGAAGAAGCGCTTGCACGTTCCTCCGCAGTGACAGGCGTGTCCATGATGGAAGTACCACCTGGAGGGAGATAGTCAGCGGCCGAGATGTGATGTAGGGCTTCAGTACGTTTGGTTGTCGGATTTTGCTGTCTCTCAGCCTTGGATCTGACCAATCTGTCCATGAAATGCGCAGGCATTTGCACATTGTGGTCCACCAGCAATCCAATGGTCTGAACTGAATGATCGGCATGAGTCAGCAGGATACCGACGGGGTCGATGTACAGGAAGTCCACCGGTCCAGTTGGCGTTGGTCGTAGCACTGAGAATTGTTGGTGTCCTGTCACCATCGGAATCACCTCGCACAGGGCGTTCAGGCAACAGAAGTGCATAGCCTTCACATCTTCATCCCTGTTGCTCTTCAAGTACGTAGTAGGGTTGAAGTTGTCCCTGCCAATTCCCATCATGTTGGCTCCCCGTGTAAGCAACGAAAGCATCTGATTCGTCCGGAAGCGCTTCAAAGTGTAAGTCCCGTTGGGATCGTACTGCTTGAGGTTCTCAGGCTCCTTGGCAAAGCGAATGATCTCCTCGTCAGTCACATCCCTGCTCACACCCGTTTCTCTGTCCACTCCAGCCAAAGATCCCCACTTTCCGAGCACATCATAGCGTTGGCCAAGTGCGAAATTCTCCCTCATCTGGAACAACGGCATAGTCGCCCACTTCGCGAATCCTGACCAAGCCTTGTAGATGGTTCTGCACACCACGAATGCCATATACGAAAGAGCGGCCATGTTGGCGTCAATGCAATGGGCATTTCGCTTTCCTGGGTAGTAGGATGGCTGCATGGCGGTACGTGCGAGTTGTAGTTCAGGATCGATGTTCAAAGACTGGCCGGCGATGAGGACGGGACGTCGTTCCTGTGCAACTGCATCTGGTACTGCGTCATCAAAGTCCTCTCCTGGCTCTGTGTCCATTTCTTCATCAGGTTCCTGTTCTGGATCGTCCTCCGCGATGACAGATGGCTCTGGGATTTCCTCAGGTTCCGCAACGGTCTCTGTCTCCATGGCTTCCTGCTCCTCGACGGTCGCCTCAGGCACTGCTGCTGCCGCGGCTTCCATTGTCTGAGCAATGAAGTCACTGGGGATCTCCGTAGGAGTCTCCCGTTGTGGAGAACCTTGGTAGTATCCGCAAGAAACGAATTGTGACCAGCAAGACGTGCATCGGGAGAAGCATGCTGGAACGATGTTGTAGCATGCCGGGCACACCCTCATTCTCCTTCCATCCTCGTCTCTGCGTAGGTCTTCGGGTCGCCAATTCTTGATGACAAACTTGATCCCTTTGTCCATGTAGTGATGCCGAACCGTGTTCTCCCTGTGGGACTCCAGGACAGTCGTAAGGTCTCGAATGATCTGCTCCTTGCTGGTGTCGTGGGGTCCAGGAGGCATCTCGCAAAGCAATTCCATGATCTTGCTTGGTGTTCGGTATCTCTCGAATTCAGGGAGCAAAGGTGATGCATAGTAGTCCAACACCATCTCTTTCTCCAATCGTTCATCGTAGATCTTTTCCACCAGAGCGAAAGAGTGTGTATCTTGAGGATTCGGGACGCAAAACCATACCTCCTTGACGAACTGGAACGGTATCGTTCGGCCAACGATGATGATGCCGCTGTCTGTGATACGTCCATCTTCTCGTGCAAGGTCCTGCGAAGGGACATGGAGGACCGCCAGCGGCATGTGCTTGGCTTGTGGTCCATGTACCCGCA